AAAACCAGTCGCCAAACACTTTAATTGACCTAATCAATCCAAACAACATATGACAATATGCGGTCTTTCCTTACATTTAGGCAGCACGGAAGGCCACAAAACTCTTGAACAAAAGTTAATCGTACAAATCGGCATTCTCAATCCCACAGGTATCAACGAACGCTTTTCATTCCTTTAATCTTTTTGTGTTTTTTCCGTTGCCATGTTCCCACCAATGGCGTACCTCCGCTTCTACATATAAACCCACATACAACCCACAACTCCTCCATTCGTCCTGCAGAAGGGCTAACGCTCGAAACGTCAGCTTTTTTATTCGTTACTGTGGCCAATTTACATATTTTAACTGAGTTATATAACCAAATTACCTTGTTACTCCCACCAACGCAGCACCACAGTTTCTTTAGAAATATTTAGCCTTTATTAATTTTTCAATTATCCGGACTATTTACCGAGGTTCCGACAAGTCCGGATAATCGAGGTGCGACTGTACTTCAGTAACGATTACAAAAGCTGACGTTTCGAGCGTTAGCCCTTCGTCGGAGCGAATAGAGGAATTGAGGGTTGAGTGTGCCTTTAAAGGCAGAAAATGGAGCCACGTTATTGATGGGAACATGGCAACGAGAAATACACGAATAAATTAGTGGAATGAAAAGCGTTCGTTGATCCTTGTGGGATTTAGACTGCCTGTCTAAAAGGTGAGCTTTTGTTCAAGAGTTTTAAGGCTTTCCGTGCTACCTAAGTGTAACGAAAGACCGCAGATTGCCATATGTTGCTTAGAATGATTTGGTAAATTAAAATGTCTAGCGACTGGTTTCGATGTGTCCTTGTCATTCCTTTCCACGTCGCGAAGGTGTTCTCGGAATCGGTCACCTAGTCTTCTGCCTGTTTCGCCGATGTACATCTTTTTGCAATAAGTGCAAGTTATGCAATAGATTAAATTGGCGGAGGTGCACGTGAAGTGATCAGTGATTTTAATGGATCGTTTGGGTCCCGATATTTTATCAGTGTTGTGAATGAAATGACACTTTTTGCATCGTGCACAAGCACATTTGAAAGTGCATGGTTGGTCATTAATCTGAAAAGAACTTCTGACCAAAAAATTGCTTATCTTTTTGTCACGTTTGAATGAAATGAGTGGAGGCTGCGAAAAGATAGTGCTTGTCTCTGGATCGTTTTGAAGTAATTTAAAGTTTTTAAGAATGATGGATTTAACTGAGTAGTTGTGAGGGTTAAACGTGAGAGTGAATGATATGTGGTCGGAATCTTCCTTTTGTGGCGTTTGTAGTGCTGAATGTCGATCAATAAGTTGGGCGCGGTGGTAACCCGCTTGAACGACAGAAACAGGGTAACCACGTTTATCGAAAAACTGGCACATTGACTCTGATTTGTGGTGGTAATTCTCATGATGTTTCGTGAAAAAGAATTTTGGGCGCCCTGAATTTGGTGATGGTATTTTCACGTAACATCATGAGAATTACCATTAGAGCTACGTGCCAAAAACGTAATCACCTCACCGAACAAATCCTACATTGCCGCTCTGAACTTTCCAAAATCTGTCCAGTAGTTTTATCACAATCTATCCGCGCCAAAATTCAGGAAACTAATTCGAAACTTTTCAATCATTTGAACCTAATTAAGGCCCAAAATCTTGACCAACTTATCGGTCCCCAAATCGCTAACCACTCATCGCCAGAAAACTTCAAAGCTGTAGTTACCATTCCAGAAAACCTCTCACTTTCCGATTCAGAAAACTTCGTCCTTAGTAAGAGCTTAAATTTCGTTCCCATTTCTAAAAGAACTGACGAATTCTTAATTAAACAAGATGTAGAAAAATTCCTTCGCCGCGTTCAATTAAAAGCCTTTTTTCAACACAAAGAGGATGATTCTAACGCCTCGAACAAAGACACTTTCGAAACACTTCAGACTCGAAAGTCTAAATGGACTCCCCCAGAGGGCCAATTCGCATCATTAGACTTTTTTATCAAAAAATCCCGCCACGATATCAACAAACTTAGTTTCAATCGTATTAACAAATTTTCTAATCTCTCTTCTGAAGAGTGGTCGGCTCTAAAAAGTCTTAAAAAGCGCGAAGACATAGTTATCAAAGCGGCCGATAAGGGCGGCTCATTCGTTGTTTGGCGCAGCGACCTCTTCCAAAAAGAAGCTTTGCGGCAACTTTCTGACGCCTCTTTTTATCAAAAGGTCGACAAAGACCTCACCGCCAGGTATAAAAACACCGTCAAGAATACGATCAACCAACTCATAACTAAAGAAGAATTGCCGGCCACAGCAAAAAATCTCATCATAACCACTCATAGAACTTCTTGTATTTACTTTTTACCAAACATTCACAAATCTAACAACCCGGGTCGGCCATTGTCTCGGCTTGCAGTTGCTTACCGAACTTATCTCCAGCTATCTAGACAAAATTATGGCTCCCATCGTCAAAAATTTACCATCATATATTAGAGACAGCCAACCCGCTCTTCAAAATTTTTCGCGAGTTTAATTTCTTTGACCAAAACAAACTTCTTTTCACCATGGATATTTGGTCTCTTTACACTGTCATTCCTAATGGCGATGGCCCTTAAACATTTTTTTGGTCAATGTGCTGTTAAGGAACCTAAATCTGAAACACTACTACGCTTAGCCGAACTAGTGCTCACACTCAATTGTTTTTCATTCGGGACAACTTCTTGAAACAAACCAATGGTGTAGCCATGGGCACCAAAATGGGACCTAGCTATACCAATCTTTTTGTAGGTTTTGTCGAACGCCAACTTTTCAGCCGATACAACGGCTCCAAACCTGAGCTCTACGGTCGCTACATCGACGACTGTGTCGGCGTTACCTCCTCAACCAGAGAGGAGCTGACTCAACTCATAACCGCAGTCAATTTTTTTCACCCGGCTCTGAAATATACCTGGGAAATTACTGACAATTCTTTATCCTTTTTAGACATCAAAGTTTCAATTGGATGCAACGGTTTATGCAATAGTATGTATTACAAGCCTACAGACTCGCATAATTACTTGTTATATTCGTATTCGCATCCATCTCACGTTAAGAACTCCATTCCTTTTTCTCAGTTTCTAAGACTTCGTCGTTTATGTAGTGATGACTCTGATTTCCACCACAAATCAGAGTCAATGTGCCAGTTCTTCGATAAACGTGGTTACCCTGTTTCCGTCGTTCAAGCGGGTTACCACCGCGCTCAACTTATTGGTCGACATTCAGCACTACAAACGTCGCATAAGGAAGGTTCCGACCGCATTCCATTCACTCTCACGTTTCACCCTCACAACCACTCAGTTAAATCCATCATTCTTAAAAACTTTAAATTACTTCAAAACGATCCAGAGACAAGCAATATCTTTTCGCAGCCTCCGCTCATTTCAGTCAAACGCGACAAAAACAGAGGCAATTTTTTGGTCAGAAGTTCTTTTCAGACTAATGACCAGCCAGGCATTTTTGAATTCGCTTGTGCACGATGCAAAACGTGTCCTTTCATTCACAACACTAATAAAATATCGGGACCCAAACGATCTATTAAAATCACTGATCACTTCACACGCACCTCAGCTAATGTAATCTATTGCATAACTTGCACTTATTGCAAAAAGATATACATCGGCGAAACAGGCAGAAGACTAGGTGACCGATTCCGAGAGCACCTTCACGACGTGGAAAGGAATGACAAGGACACATCGAGACCAGTCGCTAGACATTTTAATTTACCTAAGCATTCTAAACAACATATGGCAATCTGCGGTCTTTCGTTACACTTAGGTAGCACGGAAAGCTGCAAAGCTCTTGAACAAAAGCTCACCTTTTAAACCGGCAGTCTAAATCCGACAGGGATCAACGAACGCTTTTCATTCCACTAATTTACTCGTGGTTTTCTCGTTTCCATGTTTTCACCAATAATGTAGCTCCATTTTCTGCCTTTAAAAGCACATACAACCCACAATTCCTCTATTCGCTCCGAAAAGGGCTAACTCTCGAAACGTCAGCTTTTGTAATCGTTACGGTGGCCTATTTACCATTTCAACTTTGTTGGTATATCCAAATGTACTTCAATCCACCTGCATCTTCACATATGGGAGGAATATTTGAGGCGATGATAAAGGAAGTAAAGAGAGCTGTAAAGGCTGTAGTAAATGACCAGGTTCTACCCGAAGAAACACTCCACGCAGTCCTTGTCAAGTGACGACATCAACGATTACGAAGCGCTAACATCAAACCATTTCTTCATCGTACGAGCATCATCTAACACCTCACCTGGTCAATTTGAGGTCGCGAAATTAACAGCCGTAAGATGTGGAAGAAGGGAGCAGTGCTTGCTGACATGATATGGCGAAGATGGCGTAAAGAGTACTCACCTAACCTGTCAATCCGGTCCAAATGGAACTAGGAAAGACGCAACCTTGAGGAAGGCGACTACATCCTATAAAAATATGACGAGGTACACCGGTCATATTAACCCCTTGGACGAGTACTTAAGACTTACCAGAGATAATGGTGGAGTGCGGATGGTAGAAGTGAAAACCTCTACGGAAATCCTCATGCGACCAACCGCGAAGTGATGTTTAATGGAAGATTCTGCTTAATAGAGTGAACAGTGACTAAAGAACGTTACTGGGATCATTCGTAAAATAGGACCCGTTTCTTTGTTGTCGTTCGTCTTAAAGACTCATTTGGTGGAGAGGGGGGATGTTGCGGCCGCTGGCCATTTTGCGTGCGGCCGTTAAGCTTTCCAAGATCCCACTAGGTGGGGGAGAGAGTACTAGGTTGAAAAAAGTAAAGTGTTGTTGTTGTTCAGCAAAGCAAAGTTTATGTTTATTGGACTCACCAATAGTGGTGATGATATTTTCAGCCTATTACGATAGTCATTTATTTTATCAACTCAAAGCAATGTATAATTACTTGGACAAACGAGACGGCCAACACGTAATTATATAATTTGCATTTTTAAATTAATTTACTTAATTTTTCTTTAGTGCAAAGAAAGAGCATTTGCCCTCCGGAATCAGTGGATGACTTATCAAGCCTCCCTGTGCGCGCAGCTGGAGACATTTAGCGAGAGTGAAAACGAGCTTGGCGACGCTGAGAGTGATGGTTACCGCAGTTTGGATGATAACCGAGAAGAAATCTCCTCAAAATACCAGAATGACGAGAAAATTGGTAGTCATGACAGAGGTGATGAAAATGAAGAATCGTCATTAATGGAAGGTGAAGTTAGCAACGAGGGCGAAGATAGCAAGAACGCAGAAAGTACCGCCGATGAAAATAAGGAAGATTGTCAGGAAAGCAAAGACGACAAGATCACTAGAGAGCGTCAAAAAAGGGTGTGCCCATTTCCACGCTGCAACAGCAAGGTTGTTCACCTACCAAGACATCTTAGAACGGTTCATAAGTGTAGCAAAGAGTATGCGAGAACCGCGATATCAAGATTTGGTCTGCGCAGAAAGTACGCGTTTGCGGATAAAGAAAAGGCTTCGGCTGGAAATCGAAAACTGAAAAAGGCGCACACTGAAAAAAGAAGCCAAAAGAAGCCTTGCCGTAAGATGAAAAGGTGCCCTCTCACAGGTTGCATGACCAGTACTAACCGACTGCCTCAGCATCTGCAGAAAGCTCATAAACTACAGCGCACGTCTCCCAAGTATAATAAAGCTCTTTCAATAGCAAAGGTAATCTTACGTGACGAACCTCATATTTTCCTTAGAATGAAGCAGGAAAGTGAAAGATACCAAGGGCCAGATTTTGAAAGTGCACTGTCGGTAGATGGGGACGGAAAGGAGATAAAGATGGTGGAAGACGACACCTCAGTCGGGTCAGACGATCACGAAGCTGATACAAGTGAAGCGAGCTGTGACTCTGCTAGTCAGTCCTCAGATAATATCGACATTCAAGGTGATGACGTTTCAAAGACTATGCGTGCATTTGGAGACTGGCTTCTTTCACCTGATGGGGGCAAGAAAGACAGGAAGACAGCAAAGCAACACGTTTCCCAATTACACAAGGTACTTTCAGTGGTTGGTGAAGGAGTTATGCTATCCTCTTTATTGGACACGAAAAGAATAGGGGATACTTTTCTTCAACGTTATGCAGCAGAGAAGTACCACGCAGCCACAATCAAGTCATACCTATTGAGTCTGCAACACTATTGCTCGTTTTTGCTCGCAGATCAGCCCAGCGGTGTCGTATTCGATAAAGAGCATGTCCTCAGCCTACGTGAGAAACTTAAAAGGTGGTCAGCATCATACAACGGGGAGAACAACAGACGGAGATGGGAGAAAATGGAAGAAGATAGAAACGCCCTCATCACTCCCGAGAAAATAGGTACATTCGAGAGAAGCCAGGCAGCAAGAGATGCAATCACTCTTCTGGGTCAACTGCGCGGGGCCCATGCTATTCAGATAACCCAAGACAAGTACACTCTTGTGAGGGATTATCTGATCGCACAAATAATGATTGATAACGCCAACCGCGCAGGTGTCGTAACATGTATGACTGTGATGGAATTTGAAAGAGCCACGCTTGAAGGCGACCGTTACGTTGTTCGCGTCCTACATCATAAGACCGTGGACACCCATGGTCCCGCACAAGTGGTGTTGACGAGCCATCTGTATAACTACATTAAAGTTTTTATGAAAGAAATGCGATCCCAGCTACCCGGTGTCACTCTTCTAGAAAAGCAGACAATGTTCCTCTCCTGGTGTGGAAAGCCAATGGAATCCAGCCAAATGACTAAAGCCTTCGGGTCAATTTTTAAGAAAGCAGGGGTAAATGGCCCAGTACATCACACGCTTTATCGCAAGAGTGTGGTCTCACATTGTCACGAACAACACAAAGAGATCAGCGGCAACCTAGCTGACCTGATGGCGCACCGAGAGGAAACCGCACAGAAGTACTACCGAGTGTTCGAGAAGAGCAAAAGTTCAGTGAAAGCCTCACGAAATGTATCCAGAATAATGCGAAATGATACTTCGCTGGAAGCACTGGATGGGACTGAAGATGAAAGCGAGGAAGGGACTGGCGATGCAAAAGCAACTGAAGTCGAAACCCCGCTGTCGGGAAGGAAGATATGGAATGAAGAGCGAAAAAGCACTGTCCGGACACTGTTTGCCGAGGAGATTGCTGCGCGAAACATCACGATTTCTTGCGTTAGACAGAAAATACAGAGCAATCCAGTACTATGCGGTCTGGTTCCCAAACGCGTATATGACAGGGTCCGGGCAGAATGGCGGTTCAATAGCACACCTGACGACTTGGGAAAAGAGACAGCAAATCCACTAGAAAAAGAAGAGACGATTGACAACCGCGTGAAAAGAATGTTTCAAGTGAAAGAAGACGACCAGCAAAGTAGTGCGTCGTCAGACATTTTGTCCTCTAGTGAAACCACTGCGAAGTCCCGAGGCTTGTTTGCCGCTGAGCATGTTCAAATTCTGCTACATCTCTTTCAAGATATGATAAACGGTTCCCCAATTTCAAAACAAACAATTAGTGCTACTTTACAAAATGACAACGCTGGAAAATCCCTGTTATCGAAGTTCACCTTGGCACAGATTGTGAATCGGTTAAAGTATGAAAGAAGCAGAAAAGAGAGAAGTAGAAAGCCACAATGTAAAGATTGACAAACCAACCAGACAATGTAATCTGGTTATATCAACTAAGCTGGAGTTTAAATCAGCCACCGTAGAGTTAAACACGAGGGCGCGCTATAAAAGGAGCCTGAGGTCCCACTGGACCATTTGTCAATCAACCTTCGTGTGATGTAGAACTCTTAGAGTCAAGTCAGCTTGAGCTACAGCTACTCCAAAGCAGTGAACAGCGGGCGCATTCCTCAAAATTGTTTTATGTTTCCATTATAATACAAGAATTTTTGAGATTTGTCTTTCCTTTCTCCAATGGAAACTGTCTTCATTTGTGGAGGTAACTTTGAGATCGCAGTAGGTGGTTCGCGCGTTACCTCATGTCACCATGCTGGTGGGAGTAAACTATAGATATGTCATTAGCTCCTTTTGTCCGTCTACCAGCATTTAAATTTGACCCGCACATGTCAACGGTGAGTGACAAATGAGCCTTGGTCTTCCCAGGGAAGACTTCCTTATATAGGGCGCCTTCGTGTTTAAAGAGCTGACGTTTCAAGCGTTAGCCCTTTCACTCTGACGAAGGGCTAACGCTCTATACGTCAGCTTTCTAACTCTTTACAGTGGCCAATTTACAACTTCAACCTAGTTGATAGAACCAAATGAACTTGTTTCCCCCACTGATGCAGCAGCACAGTTTCTTTAGAAACTTACCCCCTTTAACCAAACAACAACCTGATGGTCTCTTTGAGCGGGTTAAGATGGTAAACAGAGTTTCTCAGAACTATTAGAGATATAGAGTCGGTGGAAGTTTTAACCGAGTGTTTCAGTACTGTTGCTCAAAACAAACTGTTCACTTCTGTGATCATTGATTTTCTCGTTTATACATCCAAAACATAAGTTAGTTCCTTTCTGACGAAAAAAAGGAGTACGTTGAGCAAGAATTGACTTAGAAATACTTGATTGTTAGGTTTTGCGCTAGGCCTTTAAAGCGTTAATCGAGCCAGTAACTCCAAGAAAAGAAATTTGCAATGAAGTTAAAGTTGTATGAAAAGGATGTATCCGCCTTAAAAATCTCCGTTTCATGAACTACAAGCGCTAGTTTTTTAAACGGAAGGGCTTGTAGGTTCATGAATGTTTGGTTGCATCATTGCTTTAACTATTCTGTGATGGATAACAGACCGTGATACTACCAAAAAATTTCCTTCACTTTACTTCGAATTGCATCGCTGGGACGATTTGTCTTCCCGCAATACAAGCAAGTAACCCGATCAATAAACACAAGGCGGACTGTTTCTGTAGCTGTGAATTGGAAAGGTTCCAGGCCACAATTATAATCTACTTTGTGAGGGAAAAGCACGTGAGTGGAGTTTCCATTGAAGCAGCCGCTAACAGATCCTCCAAATCTCTTGATTTTGTCAAGTAGTTGGTAAGGACTCTCGAGCAGAGTAGCGTGCGTAATGTTCACGCGCGCCTGCACCTCAGACAAAACTAAGTCACGTGACAAAACTAAGTCACATGATCAAATAATGTTTGCTAAGGATGGGCTGATACGGTTTTTCCGATTCCATACGATACTTAAGAATTGTTTCATGCTCAGCGTGCGTATATCGAGTTATGGATGCATGTGGGGAGTTTGGAGAGCGCGAGAGAAGCGTAAGAGTTGCTCGAGGCATAGCCGAGAGCAACTCTAGCTTCTTGAGTTGCCCGAGGCGATAGCCAAGGAGAACTCTAGCTTCTTTCGTGCTCTCCAAACTTCCCGCCTTCTCCATAACTCGATAGTGCACAGCTGAAAGCACGAACCAATCGTTTTAGAACATAGTCGGTGGAATTGTGCATCAAATCCGACGCGAAAAACGGAAGACAATATCAGTCGAAGCGAATTGAGACGGCGCTGATGGCGAGTCTCCTTTTCCGTTGTTTTTCTCCTTTTCTGCCTCATTTAAGAACTCTAGCCCAAGGGAAAAGGTCGAAACATTGTCTTCGTTTCCGGACTGGTAGGCCGAGTTTCTGTTTGTAACCATTATTGTCGCGAAATATATTACTTTTCCCCGCGCTAACAATGGCCGCTCGCGCGAAAAAAAAAAATTTATGGCGAAGCGATTTGCTGACGCTATCAGCGTGTGCTATCGGGATTTTGAGCTCGCTTACGTCTATTGAATTTGATTGTGCGGCTCTGCAAGCAATGATCTAACAGCGTTTTTCCTCGATATTGGATGAAAGACGTACTCAAGTCTAATCTCATGGTCGTCAATGAGTTTACTCTTGCAGTGCTCACACGCCATTACTTAGACTGGTACACTGCGGTGCCCATTGCTCAATCTCGGTCCGAGAGTCTCCTATATTCCTTGTCAGCGGTTGGTTGGTAGCGTGAGAGAAGGCGCGGATAGGTCACGTGCAGTATCAGAGGCACAGATATTTTCGCAAGTAACGGTATTCTCCTATCTGACCTCATTATCGCTGCTATCGAATATTTGCAATCGGTATCGGCCTATCCTTATTAATTTTTGATGAAAAAAGGTTTTTCTCAGCATAGCAACATGTATGTTAATC